TGAACCCCCTAGCTGTGATTTTGCAGCTCCTGCTCACTTAAAATCCCATCCAGTTCTCCTTAGCCTCCCTAGAAGATCTCCTGTGAACTCCAGGGGGAACTTGGGCAGAGCCCTGCTGAAATGTGGCAGACTTGCAAGCAGAGACCTCTCTAACTCACCTTTGCAAAGTTCTGCCTGTGCTTAACAGCCTCCCAGCTCGGAGGCGGACAGGAGCTGAGAAGTGAATGTGGTGCCATGGGTTGTACGGAGCTGTTTGCAGTCAACCCTCTGTCTTCCAGGGAAATTTCTGCCAGTTTGCACAGTTCTTACAGTGGTGCTCACAAACTAGAAGGAGACTGCAGTAGATACAGTATTATGTATGTAGATTTACAAATGCAATTATCCTGATCCTATTTCCCAGACAGCTCAGCAGTGAAATGCACAGATTGTTCTAAGCATCCCTTCCTCCTTCACATTTATTCTGTATATGCATCTAGAAAGCTTCCTCTGCCCTTGTCTTCTTTGTGCCTAGGTAGGTAGGGCTGCTCTCTCCAGAGCTGCCTGTTAACACCCTCTGCCCTGCATCTGCCCTTTCTGCTGTACAGAGACAGAGCCATCCAGGGCCATCATATCTTCTCCGTTGCTGCCAACATGCTTTGGCTGGAAAAGCCTGGTGCCTCTCTGCTTTCCCTTGCCTCTGTGCCCTGCCTCAGCTTCAGAGCCTGCGAGGAAGATGCTGAGGTTTTTGAGGTCCGTCGCAGCTTCAGCAGCTCAGTTGAAGGCAAAGTAGCCAGAGGGAGCAGAGGGGTATATGAGACATTGCTATTGCCGCAGGTTGTGCTGAAGCAGCATTGACACTCCTGCTATGGGGAAATGGCAAGCTCCTACCAGGGAATGGCATTGGCTTTCTAGGAAGTGGCAAAAGAGCTTTTTATCACTTGGATGGGGTGGTCCCAGACTCCCTAAAGCATGTTTCTGATACCCTATGCAGGGAGCCCACCTTTCGAGCAGGTGGGTGCTGCTGGGCAGCCGTGGGCAAGGTTTGGCAGCTGGTCTCCTGTCAGGAACCTGCCTGTGACAGCAAGAACAGGGTCCAGGATCTCCTGAACTTTTATTAATATGTACAGCGTTTTGCTCACATGGAAAATTGATTTTCTTTTTTAAGCACAAAGTATAGCGGTTTTATAACCTTTCTTCTGCTTGACAGAGGCCATTTATAAGCCCCCTTCATCACTACCTGTACAAGCTCCAGTCTAACTCATCTTCAAAAAATTCCATAATGTGTTTTTAATTGTGAGCTGCTCCTGGACAAGATTCATCTCTCTTTTTTCAAGGACTGGCCTTTTTGTTGTTGTTTTCGTGCGTGCGTGTTTGGTGAAAAGGGATAAATATCTAAAGTGGAATAGGAGAGTGCTTTAATCTGGGTGACAATTTATTGATGGCATTTGCTGCCTGCTGATTTTTATCTTTTGGGATGAGGAAAACCAGCTGAGGAGCTGAAATTAAAACCCAGAGCCAAATCCCCAGCTTGTGTGTATCAGCGTGGTTCCCTCAGCTTTGGAAAATTGTTCCAGTTAGTCTCAGCAGAGATCTGTCCTCCCCCAATCCTTCCTCTGCTTTTGCAAAGAGCCAGGCAACACTGAGGGCTGGTCCTCACCACAGCTGCCTCCCCCAATGGGAAGCCACGAGATGTTTTTGGAAATGACTATAGTGAGGCTGAGCCTCCTCAGTTGTTAATAAAATATAGCTGAAAAATGAAAGCAGTGTTAAACTCCAGGACAAAATCCCTCCTTGGTTTTGTTGCGGCTAAGGCCGTGTTCACTGCCCTCCCTGCCGTAGGTGGGTGTCAGCCACCGTCATTCCCAGGCACTGAGATGGTTTTCCTGGTTACACAGGACTTCACGCATCTCAGAGGAAGAGTGGATAAATGGTAAGGGGTTTCTACAGCATATTATAGAGCAAGCCGTCACGATTAGCCCCAAGGTGGCTCAAGGCTTTGTGGCTGTGTAATCTTGCTGTGTTGGGGATTTTATCTTTCTCCTGAGCAAGGACGGTGAGAGTGGTTTTTGGAGCAGACGAGGCCCCTCCTGAGATCCTTTCCCCTTTCTCAAAAGTAGGTGCAGAGCAGTGGCCATCTAGGCTGCCCCATCACTGGCAAATCCGTTGCGCTCGGGACAAATTTAGTTGGCAGCAGAGTTGGGCAGAGCGACCACACGCCAAGGTCCTTTGGCTCCTGGGACCGCAAGTTATGCCCTGGGAGGATAAACGCGGGGCTGGGACTCCAAGGTGTGCGTGGGGCGCGCCTGTTACCTTAGCGCATCTCCTCTCTCGTCACAGTGCCCTGAGGACCTAAGACCCATGAAGGACGGCACTGGTTGCTATGACTACTCCAAAGGGATCGACTGCTCTGATGGCTTCAACGGCGGCTGCGAGCAGCTCTGCCTCCAGCAGACCCTTCCTCTGCTGCATGATCCCTCGTCCAGCACCATCTTCATGTTCTGCGGGTGAGTGTCCTGCAGTGTGCTGTTTTTTTTTCCATCAGCAGCTCAATACCTGGTTCCCTTTTCCTTCCTTGCCAGCTATCTTCTGTGTCACCCACGTATCCAAACTGGCAGGTCTTGCAAAGGGTCGTGTTTGCTGTGTGCACCCAGCAGAGAGGTTAGTTGTGTAGCTGGAAGGGGCCTTGTTCGTGCCTGTGCACAACTTCCAGCAGTGAATTTAGGCACCTGGCTTGCCTACAGACAAACATGTATGTGGTTATGAGAAGCAGCGCGAGCACGTGAACAGATGCACCTTCCTCATCTCTCCCCACCAAGATGGTGTGGCTATAGAGTCTGATCTCTGACTCACTGTAAAGGTATCAAAAAATTGTATTTTGCATGTTGGAGGGGGAAGGCAGAGGACTCTGTTTTCTTTAAAAACAAAAAACCTGTGCCTTTCTCAAAATAGTTTCATCCCTGATTTTGGCCAGGATCCTATAATCCTACACAATTTAGCATTTTGTCTAAGGAAAATCTCCCTGACTGCAGTATGTTCTAAAAGGAGCTCAGTGATTATCAGGCTGTGTACTGCACAGCTGCAGAAACAGTCATCCATCACGCGCTCTGTCCCGCAAGCAGCCCCAGTGCAGGGGCTCTGCGGATCGTATCAATCTGCTGGTTCACGCAGGCATTTCGTCCCGCTCTCGCTTGTGCACAGTAACCTACTCCATGTCCCTGGGGGAAGGATCAGGGCCGGGGAGGGGAAAGGAACCCTTTAAGGGGAGTAGGGAATACCCACAAGAGAGGGTTGTACAAAAGGACGAGCGGGAATGGAAGGTTTGTCCATCCACCCACATCGCTATCCTGTATCACCACCCTCTGTGATCCCCTGTGCAGACTCTCTTAATGTGCATACAGGGAGGTAAGTGGGGTCCCCTCGCAACGTGGCAAACGTGCTAGAGAGAGGGAAGCCGCTGAGCATCTCAAACCCGAGAACCAGCCCTTGACAAGAGCAAGCCACCGACGGGCTGAGGCGGAGCAGTGCCACCAAGGCAAAGGGGGACAGACAGGTAGTAAAGCAAAGGGTACCCTCATGGGCCAGCAAATGGGGTAGGCGCTTCCCATTTCTTGCAGCATCAGGCCCTGGGTCCCAGTCCTCCTCTGTCCCCTGGGCCCTCCCCAGGCTTTCCCACTTTTCCCTGCTAAAAAGGCACTTTTGACCTTCAAGGAGATGTGAGCCATGGGCCATGTGCAGCAGGGAAGCACGCTCAGAAAGATCTGTCAAGTCCTGACACATCCTGGATCTCTGGCAGTACAGACCTTGCACAGCCCCAGCCACTTGCTGCTCCCCGAGGAAGAGCTGGCTTCATCAGAAAGTTCTCTCTCTCTCTTTTTTTTCTTTTTTACTTATGCTTTTTTTTTTTTTTCCTTTGGCACAAAATGATTGAGTCACTAGGAGAGAGCATGTTGCCTCCACTGTGATTGCAAGGAGGGGCTGAAAGTCCATGTGGGCACAAGCAGCCTTTCTGGGGAGGGTCCAGTAGCTTGTGGGATGGAGCAGAGGGCAAACTCATCAGTCATGCTACTGTGGCGCCAGCAGCTGTCAAGTGGAGCCGGGAGCCAGTTCCTTGCCCAAGGGGCCTGGAGCGTGTGCAGTCACTACAGGCAATGCAGAGGACAGAGCTGCTGTGTTCATGTCGCGTATGGGAAACCGAGGCACACAGTGGTTACGTGATCCATCTGAGACCATGCAGGGGATCTGCGGCAGAGTTAGGATTCAAATCTTCTCTCCCCAGGGACAGAGAGGCTTTTTTTTTGTTCTGTAATACTTTTTCAAGGCAGAGCTTCACTTTGGGAATGGGCAAGGGAAGGTGTGACAGATGTGTGGGAGTTTCATTTGCAACAGTATAAAGGGAGTAAAGGAATGGAGAGGGGAGCATGCAAGGGTAAGCGTGGGATTCACGTTAGCAGAATAGCAGAGCACTGCCTGTTACCGGGAAGGAAGAGTCAGCCAAGGGAAATGGAAGTTTCCTCATCAACTGGGAACTGCAATGCTGAGAAAAAGGGAAAAGAAAGGAGGGAGGCAGGACAAGTGTACACACAAAAGATATCAGTGCTATCTTTGTCCTTAGCCAAGTCACATCCCTGCTGTTTGCCTCAGTTTCCCTTACTGTAAGTGGAAGATAAGCACGTGTTTTACCCATAAAGGGCTTAAAAGTGGAGCCAAGGAATAAAAGAGCAGCCACTGTGGAGTTGGTTCCTTTCAGGAAGGTGCTGCAAGGATTTCACTTTACTCTTGCCGTGGGAGTGTTAGTGCCCGTCTCTGTAGCAATATCAGAGGGCATCAGGTGGGTTAGAGCTATCTGTAAGGTTGAACAGATGACACATGCTGCACTCGGTTCTGCTCCCCAATACAGGGGCAATTCCCGGGCACGTCATCTTGGCTGCGGATGGACAAGGTCTTCCTGCCGAGGGAAGGATGAGCGTTTACTGCCGAGCGCTCCTGCTCTGCTGGCAGGTGCCACGGCGTGATCTTGGCAACAGCCCTGCAACCTCTAGGCCTTCCTGGGCTGCCAGGGCAGCGCGCGGCCAGCCGGTGACACGTGCTGCTGGCGCCCCAGTGGCCTGGCAGCTGCTGCAGGTGTCGGTGGCGCTAGCAGCTGTCTGCGGTGCTGGTGCAGCTCTGTGACTGCTCCAGAATAGCCAGCGTTAATGCCCAGGCTCTCCCCGGCCTTCATTCAGCACATCCAGGGCAGAAGTGGTTGTATTTTCTTGTTCTTGCAGTGCCTGAGGGTCTGCAGGACATAGCATTAAATGACGTGATATCCCTGCTAGGCGCCTTGGCCATGCTTAGCACCCTGGCCCTCCTCTCTGCGGAGGATTGTCCTGCTGCAGGGCCGCTGCTATGCTGGCCCTGCTCGGAGGTTGCGTTTTGTGCTTCGCATAGTCTCTCTGTGCGAGGTCCTTCTGATGTAGTTTGTGATTGCTCTACAGGTGTGTTGAGGAGTACAAACTGGCCCCGGACGGCAAGTCCTGCATCATGTTGTCTGACATCTGTGAGGGCCCCAAGTGCCTGAAGTCGGATGCTAAATTCAACGATACCCTCTTTGGGGAGATGCTTCATGGCTATAACAACAGGACTCAGCATGTCAACCAAGGCCAGGTGTTCCAGATGACTTTCAGGTATGGCCCAATTCTACTCATCATTTTGAGAGCGTCAGGATGGCCAGGAGGGACCCAAGATCCTTTAGTACAGGGACAGGTCTCTGACTAGCAGATACTTAGAGGGAAAAAAACAGAAGAGGGCAAGTGTGAATGGTTTTCCTACTGGTTTATCCTTCCTGCAGTCAGCAGTTTAGGGCCCTTTTGAGTCAGTGCCTATTGCTTCAGCTGAGTGTGTTTAATTGCCTTTGGACTTTTATTCTGGGTTGTCATCTAATCTCTTTAGGAACTCTCTTTTATCTCCACAACATCTTGTGATGTTGAGTTCTACTGTTTAGCTTCATGTAGTATGAAAACGTGTTTCTTTTTGCGTGTTTTCAACCTGTGTGAGATAATTTTATTCAGTGCCTGCAGTGGCTGTATTGGGAGAAGCCATGAATATAACATAGTAAGAAATCACGTAACTAAGATGAGGCAAGGTAAACACCACGCGAGACTATGAGTAGTAGCAATACCATGGTGTGTTTGCAAGCTATACTCTGAACGTATTTGGAGTGCGGAGGATCAGATGTGGGTGGGGAGAACAGGATTCGAACCGCTCGGATCTTTCCCTCTCGGTGCTTGCAGATGAAAGCTTGCTGATAATCACTGAATTTAGGGATGGAAAATCAGTAGATTTACTACTTTTCTTCAGTTGCTCTCAATGGTGGCACACTTTCAATGAGTGAAAACCAGGGCACACCTATGAATTTCAAAGCAGCTGTGCTGATTACTGCCAGGAGAGGATCCAGTCTAATAGTACGCAGCTCACAGTCGACCAGGACAAGGCTCTTGCACAATGCCTCCAAGTGAGCTGAGGTTTTTTTCCAGGTAAGGCATTGAGGCCTCATTGTTGCCTCTGATTCTAGCTGAAATTGTGGGTGCTCATCGCCTCTGGCCATGTCGTTTTTCTGGCTGCTTTTTCTCCAGCTGAGTGTGAAGTCTTCCTGGCTATGGATTCACCCTGAACTCTGGTGTTTTGCTCTCTTGATGGGAGATGAATTACTGGCTGTACCAGCTCAAAAGGCATTCAGAAAGCAGTAGCAAGCTGAGTGCTTGGAGCCAACAGATCAGCAGCCTTTGCTGGAAGTGAGAATTGACAGTATGTGAAGGCAATTTTCCCAGTAAGCTCCTCTTTAGTTTCTTTCCCTCCCGTATGACAAGCTTCAGCAGGTCCTCCAGGGCAGAGTTAGGGCTGTAAAGCTGTGGTGTGTGTGTGGTGGGTTTTTTGTTTTGTTTTTTTTTTTTTTTGCCATAAGCTTTATTTCTTCATGGTTGAGAAGGTCTGGGGGCTTCATAAAAGCCACCCACACTCCAAACCTGTCACTTGGCAACGCTAGTATCTGCGGGGACCCCGCAGATGAGAGCCAAACTGAGCTTGTGCAGCCACTCTCTCGACAGTAAACCTCTTTTTGCTGGGGCTTTAATTTTCTCTCCAGCTCCTCTAATAGCCTGGCCTTTGCTTGCACTGTGCAGGAGCTGGGGGATTTGGGGAAGTCAGCCTTCCTCTCGCTCAGACAGGACTCTGATTGAAGAGCTGTTTTATTGCTGCCTGAAAGCAAACACGTCTCCCGGCTGGGGCTCAGGGACTCCGAGACAGACGTGTTACTTCTTGCCTCCGCAGGAGCAGGGACGGAGTCTGGTTTTGACAGGAGAGACACTTCAGGAAAAGGACAACAAATGGGAGCGATTAGTGCAGAGCACCGTCTTCCTCCTGCCTCTCCTCCCTTTCTCTATGCAGTGGATCAAATTCTGCTTTTAGCTGGCTGGGTTGCACAGAAAGCACCAATCCTCTTTTATCTGCCCGTGCCAGGTACTCGTTGCTTTGTGTGAGGATTAAAAGGCAAGCAAGAAACTGTCCACAGGGCTAAATAGCAGCCAAAAAGCAGGCGAGGTTGTACGTGGGTCTGTTTTCTCCTGCGAGACGCGGCACCTCCAAGTCAAGTTGTCTGAAGGGAGCCTCGGGACGGCAGGTTTGGGTAGTCCCACGCTGGAGCGCTGCACGCAGCCTCTCTGGCCGGAAGGAGGTTGGATGGGGAAGTTACTGTGTCTGCCTCCTGTCACTCAAAAAGTGGTGGGATTAATTAATGGAAAAGCGATCCGTCGCAGGTACACGTGAGAAGCCCGTGGCCTGTGAGCTGTTGGCGATGGGGCAGCGCTGTCTGATTCCCGCGCTGCTTCCTGGGCACCACCCGTGGCTGCTCTTAGACTGGAGGGAACCAGAAGCCAGCTGCCCTCTAAATCTGTTACCAGTGGTGCCATTGGGTGTCCTGGGATTTTTGGCAGGGACTTCTCCCCTCTCCCTTCAAGCTGGACACACAGCAGGATATTCCCAACTGCGTTAGGGCTGCCCTGGTCCCCTTTGCGCTCCTAGTAAAACATCTGCCTTCTGTTGGTTACATCTTCCAGATGTCAGAGCCCAAAGCGCTTCTTGTGGCTCTGGTGTACAGGTTTTGAGGTTAAAAAGAGGGAGGGGGGAAAAAAAAAAGGTTGTTAGTGGTACCCCGGTTCTTCAGTACAGCCACTGTTTTGCACGCACCCTGCAGCAGACTCTGCGCCCTCCCCACGGTGCCTGCGTTTCAGACGCGCGTGAGCTCTGGGTCTTTGTCCTCGTTTCAGCTGCTGGCTCAGCTCCTGCCACAGATTACTTGGGTGTGGTGTCTGGGATAGGTTCAACTAATGGAAGTTTTTGCCAGTGAGGGTTTGTGCAGGCAGAGCCAGCTCCTCAGCATGGCTTCACTGTGACAAACAGGATTTTCATTGCCTGACATCAGCTGTGGGTCTGGTTCTGGGCCCAACCGCTGTGAGGGGGAGGACAAAATGGGTCTGAAATGAGAGCAACCTGCAAAATGACAACAGAGAGGTGGACAAGAGGGCAGCTGAGCTAGCAGGAGGGGTTTGAGTACAACAGAAGCAATCCGCTGTATCCACTGCGAGCACAAAATAGAGTTTGCAACAGGAATGCATGTTGGTGCCGGCTAAGACAGCCTATATCCCCGCTGCTGTATCATGTACCCGCATATAATACTCCGTAACACACATGACGCACAGGCACAGCGGAGTCCTAAACCTGGAGGGGGACAGTATGGCTTGCTTTAGAAATGCTTTCCGCAACCTGGAAGGTCAGTGCTGCCTTTGTTTCTGTTGTGAATTGAGACCGTTGGCTCCAAAAGTGCTGGCTAATGATGCGAAAGGCTCCCTTCCCCTGCGCGCGCGCACACGTGCGCTCGATGTCCTTCCCTGCAGCCACGCTGCCTGCCATGTCAGGAGGGTTACGCCGCAGAAGCGCCATTACATCATCTCCTAACAAGAGAAGAGGAGGAGGTTAATGGAGAAGAAATTATTAACAAAAGATGTAATTTGCCTCTGATTTTCATAGATATTCAAGAACTTCTCTGAGCATTAAGACACCAGCTGTTAGAGAAGCCCTTAATTTGGTGCATTTGAAACATAGCAGGAAGCTGCCTAATACCAAGGATTAAAAGCCTGTTTCTGCAAAGTAGGAGCAAGAACCTGCTATCAGAACAAGGGGCTGAGTATTTTAGAGGGATTTATAACCGCTGGGATCCTTTAGCTATGCAGATGTGACAGTCCTTTGAATGGTGTCTGCTTCCCATGTTGCCGCATCTTCAGTGTCTTTAATAAATAGGATATTCTCATCCACCAGGCGCGTCAGCGTGGTGCCGGGAGGAAGCCTTTGCGCTGGTAAAAGCTGTATCTTTTGCACAGTGGCCTGGGCGACGCCTACCAGTTACAGTGGTATTTCCATCCTGTTGGGGTTAGGACGGTCCCTGCGCCACCCAACAGTCTGTGATGCTGATAGCGCCTCTGCCCTTTGCTCTATTAGATGGCCCTTCCAGCCATCGCCCAGCGTGATGTTGGGATGGAGCCGGTGCAGTGCAGCCTGCTTTATTTTGTCCTGCCGACTCAAAATGATGGGGAGATGTGGTGTCCCTCTTTAGGGGACAGATCAAGTGTGGTGGTCGATATGATCACACACCACACTAGGCTTTCAGCAGTGATGTAGAGGAGTTGCACGTGTTTGTCTTGATCTTAAACCTGAGACCAGCATGCCCTTCTGGTAAGTGCTGATTGAGATTAGTTTGGGGGGTTGGTTTATTTGTTTGCTTTTCTCTAACCCGTATCATTTTATCCAAGTGAGTTAGAGAGCACCCAGACAAACATTTTGGTGGGTGTATCAGGAGGTGATAAATCCCAAGGGCAAGGTGGAGGAAGAAACTACTGGCCAGCAGAGCCAACGTACTCATGACAGGCGTTGGCAGCAGCCAGAACAGTTCACGCTGGTGGCTGCCGTCTCCCTCCCGCCTCATCCCTTCCTGCTGATACCAAGGACCTGCTGCCCCTCTGTCGGCGGCAGCAAAGCCAGAACCGAGCGACTCAAACTGCAGCTCAGGAGCTGTGAGTTAGGAGCTCTGGGTATATATTTTAACACTGGGATGGCTTAATAACCATTAATTATCACCGTTGTGGCCAGGGCGCTAGGCTGACCTGTTGAACAAGCCAGAGTCAAGGTTCCTGCCTCCTAGGTTGTTGCTATTTTGTTGCGAGTATTTAAAGCATAACTATTTCCCGTCACTAATTTCCACTGCTAGGAAAGCTAAGCTGCGCCTTCCTGGGGTGAAGGGAGTTCGTTTCCCTGCCTAGAAGCAGCCTAGCAGGGCGGTGGGGCAGAGAGCGCCTTTGCGGAGACGCAGGGACACTAGTGACGCTGCTGCCGCGTTTCCTCGCGTACCTTCTGGCCGGGAGCAGACGAAGGCTCTTGAATCATGTTCCAAAAATCCACGTCGCTCCTTCCACTGAAGTTCTCGCCTGGTACAGAGAGCGCGTTCAGAGCCTTTTCCTTTCCTTTTTTTTTTTCCTTACTCTTTTTTCTTTTCTTAATTTCTTTTCTTTTTGGCAAGATGCTGTGGAATATCAATAAATAAATGGAACTGAAGCTGATCTATTCCGGTCACACCTCT